CACGCAGACATGTGAGTAGTATTCTATTTTGGGGATACTATGGTACCCATTATAGAGTAAGATTATATCCTCCTTTTGGGGATAGTATGTTATATAAGAATATTATCTTACTGGGTTCAACCACCAAAAAATCACTACTCATGTGCACTTTTCAAAATCTCCATGCAATCGGGTGTGTAGCGATTATACCATCCTACAGGGTCTCTCTTCAGCTTAGCATCGCCTCTATTCCGACAAAACTCCCACAGAGCCTCAACCCTAAACCCTGAACCCTAAGCCTTAAGCCCTAAGCCCTAAACCCTAAACCCTCAAGCCTAAACCCCTAAACCCGAAATAGTAGCTTCCATTTTCTTTTCCGTTATCCCTAAACCCTAAAACCCTGCAAGGTTGCAATATCCTCCTGGGATGCGTGACGGGTTGGAAGCAAGTGTTGGCCTTTTTGGAAACGCGCGCCTGGCGATTTGTCTGCTTTACCGACATCTACGGGAACTGCTACCCTAAGTAGTTTCCCAAAATAGGAGGACCCCAATATAGACCCCAATATACTATAACGCTTATTATGGGGACCTAGGGGTTACGGTTTAGGGGCTTCGGGTTTCTAAGGCTCCAAGGACTAAGACTTTGCAGCTTTTGAGCCCAAATGCCACACAAGAACAGCCTTTTGGGTTATTCTGAGCTTGAGGTATACAACACCATTGGCAAGCAGAGGTTCCCTAGAGTTTTGTAGATGGCGACCTGAATTTTCCTTAATCCCCTCCCCCAGAATATTAAACACCCACTCCCCAATATGAAGTGTTCCCATTTTTGCACATCATTATACTTGAGGGGGACGGGATTCTAGTGCTGCTACACTCTGAAGTCAGGAGTTCCCGGATCGCGAACATGTTCCTTGATCCTTTGGTTACGACCCTGTGATAGAGACATTATCTTGCCTGCTTGCTGTAATCAGACATTTGAGCATCGCAAGCGGTTTAGGGTTTAGGGTTTAGGTAATCCCTAAAACCTAAACCACCGAAAGTCCGAAGGGTTGAACAAAACCTTAAACAGCTTACTCTAATTCCGAGTCGTAGAGCCCAAGCTAACATGCCTTAACCTTTTTTCTCCTAAGCCGTGAGCCGGAACGACTTGGATCTTCTGAGCCCAAAGCCGGGAGCTGCTAACCCAAAAAGCCATAGTCCCTGCAAAAAACTTACGAACTCAATCCTAAACTCTAAACCCTAAACCCATCCCTAAATCATCCAAAGCTCCCCAAAAAGCAGAAATCCCACGTTGCTGTAGCATATGCGCGAACCAACGCAGTAAGAATCAATCCATGAAATTCAATTCATGAACCCGAGGAGCTTCAGCCCACTAACCCAAGACCCTTCAACGTAGGCGCCAAAGTAATTCACCGAAAATATTCTGCTCCTACGTTCTTCCTACAGCTATGATAAGGATAAGACTTCAAACATATGTTGGTAACTACTTAGGTTTACTTACGTTACAATCCCTGTAACCACACCCAGTTTCCTTTCCCTGTATTTTCTTAATTGCTGTGTACCCCTATACAATCCTTACAATCCTTTTATACCCCTATTCTTGGAGCCTTGCCAGGTCTCTTAGCTGCTGCCCCAACGAGGCCACGGCCGTGGCGACCTCCGCAGCCCTGGGTCAGCGTTGGGCCGAGGCCTAGACTTCGGAGTCAACTTCAGGGCCTAGTGTTTAAGGACTTATAGTCCCCCTTAAGTAGATAGAATATGGCTTTGGGTATATTATAACAAGATCCCCAAGTACCCCATGTTCTATCTACTTAAGGGGTACTATAGTGTGTAAGGTTTCAGGGTTTCGGGCGTAGGGTACAAGGGTTTAGGTTTTAAGGGTTCTGGGTTTGATGTTCAGGGTTTACAGGTTTGAGGCTAGGGGCATCAGGTCCAGGCTGAGGCTTTTTGGTCTGAAGTTTCAGTAACGGCATCAGATTGTTACATGAGCCATAGTCTGAATTCCTTAAAGGGGGTTATATGGGGGATTATATAGGGGACTGCTATAAGGGGTTTCTAGGTGGGGTACTAGGAGTTTATAATCTGGCTCGCATGGTTTGAGCTTGTTGTTGTGGTTCGACCTGGACCCCAGGGTATGTAGATAATGGCATTTGGGACTTTTTTTAGGAGTTGTGGAATCTAATCGTCCGTGGTAACAAGAAAGTGTCGCAATCGTCGCTACCCATTCTTGTCAATTTTACCATCGTTGTAGATCATGAGTGCTTTTTAGCTGTTTTGCCCGACTGTTTGAGGGCTTATAAGCTTTCCAAAGGCAGCTGCAAGTGCGTTAAGCCCTGAAGCCTAAACCCTACGCATGAGCCCTATAAACCTTACACATAAGACCCCAAACCCCTACAGCCTAAATTCTAAACCCTAAGCCCCAAACCCTAAAGCCTAAGCCCCAAACCCAAAGCCTGGATCCCAAACCCTCGCAAGCTGACAGGCCTTTCACTCTCTGCATCGCTTCGAGGGTTTCCTCCTGGAGCCCAGCACCGCAGCCTACAACGCCGCCTCCCGTCCGGTGTAATGGGTTTATGGGTTTAGGGTTGAGGGTTTAGGGGTTTAGGGGTTTAGGGTTTAGGGTTTAGGGTCTAATGGGTTTAGGGTTTAGGATGACAATACACTTCATGGTAGAGGAATGCAGAATGTAGACCCGTGATTGATAAACCCCGTCCCCTTAATATTAAGGCTCTTACGATGGGGGGGGCTTATGAATCACGGGTCTACATCAGGGTTTAGTGGGTTTAGGGTTTTTCAAAGCAGGGTTTCCTAGGGGTCCTGGCAAAGATGGGGATAGCTAGGTGATGAAGGAGGCGCCTATTCAGGATTCCCTCTATGGGGTAGGTTTGAGTTTGAGAACTTCCGTGGTGAAGCTTGAACAATTCGGAATAGTCTCCCTTTTTCAATCTCTTGTCAGCCGATAGCAAAGTCTCATTATGAAATTCACGTGCGTGATCTGATGGTTGAGATCTCTGTCTTCATAGATTCGCAGACTATTCTCGGGTGCAGATGTGAAACAAAGTACGTGCTTTAAACGCAAAGGTCGAGTATGCCGGAGGCAGCCTTTTTGATTATAGATCTGTTCTAGTCGCATCCAAAACCACTTAGTCATCCGCTACCTTTTGCAAGCGTGGAAAACAGGATATGGGGATGGAGTCTAGTCAGGAGTTACGGGGTTTACGCTTCGGCTTTTGAATCAGGATTTCGGTGTAGGATTTCGGATCCAGCGGTTCAGGGTTGGGAATCAGGGTTCAGGGTTTGCAAGCTTGCGCGATTCCAGTTTATGATAGGGATGTCATGTAGGCGTTACCGATTTGTTGGTTAAATGTCGGTGAGGTCACCTGGATCCGGATTCTTTGCCGTGTTGTCTACACAGAGGTTCAGTTCGCTAATGAACCAGTTTCAGTTGCACTTCCATTACTGCTGAAAGTTATTTACAGTAACCTGCAGTCTGCTTGGGCCACAAGCATAGGCGATCAATCCTCTAAGTGCGCAGCTTTTCTTTCACTTTGGAGGGCGTCATTACCAAGTGTCAGATGTCAGCCATCTCCTGCTTTCTGTTGGTCAGGTTTTGCGCTGAGAAAAGGTGAGGGGTGATTGAAAGAAAGAAATTTAAGAATGTCTCGCATGAATCTGAATAAGACAGCGGCTTAAGTGATTAGCAGTATCCTGGTCCTAGTTTTTTTGTCGAATTATGTGGAAAAGAGTATAGGGTGCCGCAAATAGACCTCAGCATGATATTTGTATGAAGATCAGCAGAACCTAACTTTGCACAGGGCCCTGGAAATGGGCCACATATCCTCCGAACCTAAAGCTCAACCCTCAAACTACAAACCTGGGAGCGTGTGTAGGAGAGTCCCTTTGCTTATTGGTTCTCAGTAGGGAATAAGGGAATAAAATCCCTACATACTCCCTATGTAACAAACCAGTAAGTTTTTTTTTGGGTGGTGCCTTTTGCCTTGGGCTCGTAACAGCAACTGTTAATCAAATGGCTTTTGAAGAAATGGTAGGGGTGGACGTAGGGTTCCAGACCATAATCTCTCACGGATCTTAGGACAAGCTACCGTGGCAGTTGCAAGAAGGCTTGGCAGTTGTGCATATGGTGGTTTCCCAAAGCTAGGGTACCCTTATGGGACCTCCAATGTATTATAATCCTTACGTGTTGTAAGGACCCCCCAAAACGGGTACCCCTCATTGCGGGAAGCCCAAATGCCCAATTTGCAATTTTCTTTTCCATTTTATGCTCCATTATTGGGGGTAACGTACACCCAAAGGTACCCCTGATTGAGTTAGGGTAGGCCTTGCCCAGTTTGGGTAGTTACATCACCGTGAACCAACTAGTGCTCAATAGTCCTTAAAACACATTACCATATAGAAAATCATCCGATTTATCAGGTGATGTAACTCCCCGAAATGGGCAAGGTTAGGTTTATTCAATTTATGGTTCATAGTATGGTAGTTGGTTGTTCGTTCCAAAATGCCGGGCTGATAGGGCTTGTGGGCGAATGCAGTTGGAATGTCTTTGTCGCGTGATGTTTTCAGAAAGTGTTGGACACAGGCTTTTTTTTTTTACATTCACCTCTTTCCAAGGGGGTTGCCACGTTTAAGAAGTTGGGGCATTATCTTCAAATCCCAACGCACGGAGAACTTCTGATGTTTTTGTGCATTTCCTGCCCTGCAGCGATGGCCATGCGACGCCGCAAAGGAAGTTTGCCATTGCTTTGCGCGATTTGTGCAGCAGCTTGTTTCTGCTTGGCGCCGACAAACTTCATCCTGTTGCCACAGGCTGGGGAGTTTCAAAAGCTTTGTGTGTGTGTGCTTGTTTGTAGCCGCCTTTTCCGCAAACGGCATCCGCAGTCAGTGGCACAGCGAATCACGGTGGAGGAAACCAGTTCATTGGACGCAGTGCTGCCGCTTTGATTGAATCATGATTCTTAGAGCTGCTTGTTCAAAATTCTTGTCAAAACAGTGGCGAGCAAGGCAATGCCAGTGAGTTGCGGGAGGCGGCTCAGCGCGCCACCGACCCAACTGAAAGCGTTGCCGCAGCTTCGAGCTGTGATACAATGGGCAATGCATGCTCAGCGCAACAAGACAGTTGACATTCGCGACATACGAGACTTTTCCCTGGCTCTTGCAGGCTTTGTGGTGTCTGCTTCAAGCTTTGTGGTGCCGTATGCCTCCTCGGACTTTCGCATGAAGCGATTGGCAGTAAAGAAGTTCATGGCGCGCTATGAGCCTGCCATGTCTCCAAACGAGGTGGTCGGACGGAAGGTTGTAGATGACATCATCAAACACCAGGCTGCAGAGCTGGAGGCAGAAGTCCGACGCGACCATCGTGAGTGGCCGCTACAAATCCGGGAAGACAGTGGCCGTGCAAGAGGCCTTGCGCGGTGTGCGCGGGGTGTGGGAATTCTCGGTCAAGGTGAAGAACTGGGAGCCCACTTTGTACCAAGAGCTTGGCGTGAAGGACTCCAGCATGTTTCATGAGGTGCTTCGTCGTGTCCGCGCCAAGTTGCAGAAGAAGAAGCTCGCAAAGAACTTGACCCAATATCCAATCCTGCTTCTGGACATTCCTCGTGACTTGGAAGGAGGCCTGTGCGCGCATGTTGAATGGCAGTGTTTGTCAGCAGCGCCCCATGAGGTAAGGAGGGTATGAAGCTGGTCTCCAACATGGCGAAGGACATGTCGAGTGATTCACGCTACAATGTACCGGCACATGTCCCTGCGCATTATAGTCAGTCCATGGAAGCAATTCTGTTTCCTGGCTGAGTCCCCCGCGTATCCCGGTCTTTGTGCATGTGAGGCTGTGGTGGTCGCCTCGCCTGCTGCCTCGGCTCAGGCGTTTGATGCCGGCGGCCGCAGATTCGACATCTGGGTGGGCGACATGACCCAGGAAGAGGCGACAGAGATGCTCGAGAAGCACGGCCGCGAGTCGTACGCGGCAGAAATCATTGACAACTGTGCCTTGGCATGGAATGCTTCAGGTTTCTGTCACGCTGTTTTTTCCATGCATCGCCTTGTTGCGTAAGCGTAGCCTTCCAATCAGGCGGCCTCCGTGCTGGTGATTTGGTGGATGCATGCAATGATCTGAAGTGCCTTCTCTGAACACGTTGTGGTTGTGCAGTCATGTTTCTTACTTCGCTTTGGACTCGCGTTCGATTTCATCCAAACTCTGAGGAAGGGAGATAGTCTGAGCGACATCCAGACGGGTTTACAAAAGTTGGCAGAAGCACATGTAGTGAGCGTTAAGCGTCTCACGCTTGATGGAGAGCAGGTGGGTGAGCAGATTTTAAACGCACTGCTTCAAAGTGGAGGCGCAGGCGTTGGGCAAGTCATAAATGATACCATGTATCAGCCGCGCAAAATTGCAAAGCTCATTCGCGATGAGAACGCACATGCCTTCTTCTATACATTCGCAAGGACACATTTCCAATAGCTCAATTTTAAATTTGTCAGCACCGAGACAGAACATGTGTTGATAGAGTTTTCTGTGAGGTTTGTGTTTCATTTTTTCTCTGTGTTTTGCCATTCTTTGCGACAGTGTTTCAATGGTAGAACCTACATATATTTCATGGTCAACGTCGTTCCAGATTTTGTAAATTTTCCCCTTTTGATACTTGTTCGCCATTAATATGATATGTAGACTTATCTTTATATCTCTTTTTTACACCTTCAATAACTCAAACCGTAGATAAGCACGGTCCATTCCTTCTACAAAATAATATTTTTGTCCTAGTTTCTCGTCTATTCTCTCACCGGTGTAGATGTTCTTGCTGAAATTTCCGATGCGTTGTTTTTCATTTGGCTTCCTTTTTCTGACAATTCTTACTTCGTCTGAAACCTCCAACTCTGGGTACATCCTATTTTTCCTAGCCTTACTGGCCAAATTCAACTTAACTTTTAACTCGTTTGATGGTTTTCGTGCCTCTTTAGGTGTCATTTCTATAGCGGAATGCTTCATTACATTATTGTACGTTAACAAAATCTCGTGTATATAATCTATCCACTGGATATTCTCTTTACCCTTTTTTCGCCACGCTCATCGCGTGATTTCGCTCCGCTCATGTCTGCTTCAACCCTCCTATACAACAAATCTTTAAAAGTGCGTATCGAGCGCTCACTAAAATTAGGGTGTGCTCTCGTTATGTGATGTTCAATATTTTGTTCCTTGAAGTACGTTTGTATTGATTCCTTGTTTAGTGCTCCTTCATCGTCGGTGTAAACAATTTTGGGCTTTTTCCCCATCTTGTGTAGTGATTCAATTATACCACTCGCTAAATCTTCTTCAGTCTTGCCTTTAATGGGTACAACATGCATAAACTTATCAAAAACATCAATTGTTAACATTCCTACTTTAAACTTTTGATTTTCCATGTCATTTATAAAGAATAAATCAATTTGATACTCGTATGCCGAATGCGGTGCAGCAAAACTGTTCGTACCCACTGGTTTACGCTTTTGTTCTACATTCTTCTTAAAAAACTCATTGATATCGTCCATTGTTATATTTTTATCCTTCTTTCTGGCTTCATCTAAGGTACGTTGCCGTGAACCAAAACCAGCCTTGTCAAAATAGATATCATTAATTATTTTCTGTTTCTCACTCATATAAATAAGTAAGAAAAATTATAATATTTTTACAACAATTATTATTTCTCTTCTTCTGGTTCTTCTTCGGGTATCACTGTTATCACCTTACAGTTTTTCATGGTGTATTTCGTTCCTTTCTTTTTACTTCCCAGTGCTTCTGCCTTCTGTTCTGGTGTCAACTTCACGGCTGTAATATCTATGCCATTTTCGGCTATGTACTTCTCCATCTTCTTTTTCTCCAGATACCTATCTCTTGAAGCCCTTTTCTTATCTAAATACTCTTTGTCTTCACGCCTTTTATTATGATATAGCCTATTGTACAATGCCAGTTGTTCACGGATTTCCTCTATTGTCATATCTTCTGGTTTTGTCATTTCACTGTTAATATATATAAACAATATTTCTTTAAGTACTTTGTCTCATTATCATACCAATATTTGATATTGAAGCAGTATAACAAAAAGTCTTAAGAAAACCACTTAAAGAATAACTATTCTTATTTAATTAATATATATTGTAACTTGTGACCAAAGCTATACAAAGAAATATCACTGCTTTAGAAGCAGTATACGATAATTATAACAGGCGTTTTAACAGAGCAACCAAGGAAAAAGTCAGACACATCATAGACTTATATTCTGAACGCAAGATAGCCCAGTTTACAACAGCCGACAATTTAATAAGAAAATTTATCACAGCCAAGACACCAAAGGACAAAGAAAAGGCAGAAAAAGAATACAACAAGATTTATGACAAACATAAGGAGAAACCCAGACTGGGTGAAAGAATGGAGGAAACAAAACAAGAAAACAAGAGAACTGGAAGGACAAACCCAAGAAAGAAAACTACCTATTCTGTTCCAGTGATGTTCTATAAATATCGTACTATGCTTGACCAAGGTAAGAGAACATCTTTTTATGACAAGAACGGCTATCCTTTAGTACCAATATATCATGAGCTCAAAACAGCCAATATACAATCATCTAAATATATTGAAGACATCGTAAGAAAGAGGGTGTATAGGGATTACGAGGATAAAAGGCTTTTTAAGAAATTGCTTAAGGACCTTATAACAAACCCCAATATAGAGGAAGACCTAATGCACGTTGAACATTATGTTGCTTGTATTATTATATATGGCGGGGATGGAGTAGACGGTGATTCAGATTTTAATCCAAAGCGTGAAAACCTAAGGGATGTCACTAATGTGAGCATGTATCATAATTATATTCAGACCCCTTTGAACCCAGAGTACGAGACACTAAAGGAAGCCATTAAAGTGGAGCACTATCAGGACAACGTGTGTTGGATTAATACCCTAACGGATTATTATAAAAATACCCTTATGGGTGACAAGAAGAGAGAGAAGAACAAATTAACCAGAGAAGGTATTTTAAAACTCATAAATAAAACAAAAGATGATTTCACAACTAACGGTGGTAGTCTTGACGATATGACTAAGGTGTTTGAACACTATAGGATTCAAGTGAGGATATATGATGTTTTTGAGAACTTAGTCTATCAGTATGACCCAGAGAAACGAGACCATCACATACAAACACTGTATGCAATAATCAAGAACAACCACATTTACACCGTGAATGATAATTTAAGTTCATTGAAGCAAATGTTACCAAAGAATTCCAATTATGATATTTTCGTGAAGGCTTCGCCAGACTACCCTTTAAATGAGAAGTCTACGCCAGTTGAGTGTAAAATGATAACATCATTGGATGACATCAGAAAACACACAGAGGAAGAACAGTATACCCTTATATATGACGGAAATGATTTAACAAAACTGTTTTATGAATCCAAACAGGCAGGTTATGAACCACAGGTTAAATTCAGTGGGTGTATCGTATCTGAGTTGAATTTTAGGTTTTATATCAATAACAGACTCATCAAGTACAAGGTTAAAACGCAGAACCTTGTAACAAATTCCATTGATGGGTCTATATGCGTCAGGACAGAAAATACTTATAATAGAATGTCTAAAGCCATGTACGATTTCAACAAAGCACTGTTTAACCCCTGGCATAAATCCTATTACAATGAGGTAGACATGCAAATCTTCAAGGAGTGTAAAACCGTAAACCCAGTAGGCGAGATAAATAAATATTATCATAAATATTCTGTACAAAGTGAAGAATTTGATAAATATTTTTTTACAACAGAGTCATGTGTAGAAATAGATGTCCGAAAGGCATTCACACATGCATTTAGTCAGATGACCGAGATACCAGTGTTTACCACGCAGTTTGATGTGTGGAAGCCTTATAAGAAGGAATATAAAATGGAAACATTTCACCCACTAACCTTATATTTAGTTAAAGCGAACGGAGAGGCAATGTTTTTCAACAAAACCTATTGTTTAGTATACG